TTTTACATTATTATATTTTTACACAAGGATATAATCTATAAACTGGGCACATCATTTACTGGAGAAATAATTAATTTACGTTCACACTATAAAAGCGCATTTTCTTTTTTCCACCACTTATATATTAATAATATAATAATATTAATAAATAGAGTATTCCGTTGAATATTCTAAAATTTAGTAAAATAATTAATAAATAATTACCTCATTGTTTATCCAAACAAAGTTATTAATTTCATTTGAATTCATTTGTCTTGATATTAAAGTTAAATGTATTATTTATTTTGTTTTAAAATAACCATCCATTTTATTATGTAGTAATAATTTAATGATAATGTTATTTATATGACAACATTTATATTGATTGAATGATAAGAGTTGCTACAGCGTTTATCAATTTATATATTGTATAAATAATAAAAAGCGCTAAATTGATCATTTATAATGATAATCATTATTTATTTTAACAAATGTATTTAAAAAATACAAAAATTGTAAATGCTGATTTGATTAACATACTGATTTTAATTGCAATTACAATTACTATGATGTTTCATAACAAAAAACTGAATAATAATTTTTTGATTAATCAGCCTAGGCCATATTTTAATCGTCCCTAATAATCATGTTTTACATTCTTACAATATACTGTATATAAAATTTTAATGTTTTGTAAGATAATCAATTTGTACACTACTATACACAAAACACGCTTTAATTGGATAATTATTTATAAAGTATAAAAATCATTAATTATATAATTATTATAACAAATGAATAATTATTAGAATTTCTAAAGATTGAAGCAATTATATTGCGGTAGAATTAGTGGATCAGGTTTTCTTGCGACCAGTCCTGAGAGTTCTGCCGAGAATATCATTGGATTTGACATAACAGGCACAACACGACGGGAACTTGAATTTGTCCGAATATGTCCTCTTCTCAGTCGGATGTAATGCAAGCAATCGTTTGTATGAGTATTTTTGTCGGCACCGCGAATACATACCCGGAGGTAAATTGTTATCTAAATAAGCACATGATTTGCCTTCTTTTCTGATTATGTAATTGGGAAACAAAATAATAATTGTTTGGATATGTGTTTAATGAATGAATGATTAATACTCGCAAATCTCGGCGACAACTGCTTGAGTGTACTCGACTTCGTTGACCACATAAATCCATTGATTTGCCTCATTCTTAGCCATTTGTGGATAAATCACTTTTGGTATTCGACGACATACTCTCTCTTCTGTCAAATCGTCGTCAATATAGCTCTTTCTTCCGTCAATATCTTTGGTGCCAAATATTTCAAGGAATTGAAGCGGAGAGAAATCAATCTCCTGTTTGATGGTTGCGCTAACATTCAAATTCAATTTATTTACATTTTTAGTTATATTCTAAGTAATAGTGCACAACTATTTCAATGTCATCTCTATTTTGGGCATATTTGTTATTTTGGATAAATAAGGATTTAAATATTGTTAATTCTCGTCTCATTCTAACAGATTTTGGACCACATACAATTTATATTATAAATTAGTGTATTCTTTGTAGTGTTGCCAGGTCATTTTTCTATTTCTTTGATTAGACCATTTTTCATTTAAAATTTGCGGCACAACTAACCGATTCCTTAAGATTATTGAAAGTTTGACAAATTAGCCCTTAAAAGTCATTTACGTATAATAATTACCAAAAGAATGTCAAAACTAAACAAAAATGTAAATATTCATGATTTTCAATATTATTCACATAAAACAATAATCCTAATTATAATGTAACATTATTAATGTTGGATAAATTAATTATAATATAATTAAAAAATAAATTATAAATTGATAAATCCCATTATTTTGTACCAATCTATATTTTGTGACATAATCTACCATATTACTTAAGTTTTAATCGGAAATACCTAGAACAAATGATACAGGTTCCAAGTTAGGTCAACCTAGTACCACTAATAGTGCATGCAATTTTTGAAAATACATTGCTAATTTTTATTCAATAGCAGCCTTTGTCATAACTCTTATTTAGCTTAATCTTTAGAAAATAATAAGTAATGTTAATTTTTATAAAGATTTTTGTGATGCTCACAATTAGTGGTTTAAGTTAAACTTTAAGTTATAATAATATTAAATACAAACTTTGGATAATTTTGGACGGCTTCACAAAAGGTGTCGTCCGGACTCGACAGACACGTTGGTCTTCCTTTAGAGTCGAGGTCTGGCAGTAAAACCTTTGCCCTTTCGGTCAGCTTTTTCTGAGATTCTGAGTCCTTAAGAGAATAATTTGATAAGTAATAATTAAGGTTGGCAAAATACAAGATAATTTTGTACAATGTATAAAGCTTGGATTATAAAATATGCAACACTTTTTTAAACTTTTAATTTTAATTAATTTGATGGTAGATTTAATAAATAATGGCATTTAATTAAAACTATGTTTATTGGGCCACAAAACTGTAGATATTGTGGTTCCGAAGATATCCTAACTCGAAGACTACAACCTCTGGTAACTATTAAAAGAAATCAAATATAAAGTTGTATATAACACGTCTCTTAGATTCCTATAAGAGACGTGTTTTTATGTAAAACTGAGTACAAATTCTAGCGTTTTGGTACATAGTAAATAATTATACCGTTTTGTGGTCCAATAAATACAGTTTTAAGTAAATACCATGATAATTAATATTATTTATAACAAAATAATCTAACAATGTTATAAGAATTTTGCATATTATGTATTTAGATTTTAATACAAAAATCCTTGCATTATTCATGTTTTATTCTCACTGATTATACATGGTAGAACATTTTGTAAAAATAATGCTATGTAAAAATAATTCTTCATATTTTACATATAAGATAATTGTTTTTAATTTATCAATTTTATAACATTTGTAGGAAAATAGACCCCACTATAAGAATATGAATAGAGAAGAGAATATATCTGTAAAATACTAAATACAATGTATAAAAAGTGATCATTTGTTGTCTTACTTTAGTGTTGCGATTCGAACGGTCGATATATATGTCTCTTCGCCTGGAATTAAAATTATTTAAAGAACCAGTACTTTGTTGAGCGCCTGTAGTTCGAGCCCTACTATTAATTGGCCCACAATTTACACAAATATACACTTTTGCTAAACTAAATATTAATATTGCGAACAAATTCTTTGGAAAAATATATCAATTAAAAAATTCATTATTAATAATTACTCATTTTTAAACATGATAATAATACAAACCATTATAACAAATCATTGCCACATTATAACAATTTATAAAATAAATATAAACTCAGCTCTCAAACTATTAAATACGATAAATATATTAGAAATGCGTTAATCAATGAGAAAATATGACCGACTGTTCAAAATACTTGTTCAAAACATGAACTCAATTTGAAACACAGATCATCTAAATGTGCCTCAAAATAGACAAACCATTAATGAGAATACAATTAATAAGGATTTAGAAATGCTTTGAAATGAAGGTCACCTTTTTATTGGCTTTAAATTCATTTATAGCCCGAAGACATTTCTTGTTTAGTCAATAAGTGTGATGTCAGTCAATATAGTTTTACAACGAATATAACCAAAGGGCATATATTAATACTTTATGTATTTAATGTATTGTCAAATTGTTGCAGTTAAAGTTGTAGTGTACTGTATAGGGATGCCAGACGTCCAGGAACGTCCTGATTATCGACACAGTAATTGTCGTGAATTTTTAAATAATTAATTAAACAGTGTTAAATAAAGCATCATTTAACTACTATTAAAGCAAAACATATGAGATTGTGCATGCTAAATATAACCGACACTCGCGATACTAACGATACTCGCGATACCAATACCGACACTGAGTTTTATAATGTTTGCGATACCGATTAGTCGATGTTTAGTCTGCATATTAAATGACTCATTTATTCAATAAATTTTATTGGTTGCCTTGTGTTACACAAGTTGTGTATTATATTACTTTTACTTCATTTGATTTGATTTTAAATTATATAATAATATACTGTAAATATTAATACATAATAATTGGATAAAAATTTTACATATTTAAATTCAATTTTCCATAGTTATATTATTTAACATAGTTAGTTAAAGTTATATTATTATTAAATTAAATATTACTTTTGGTTAATGTTTGGCACTTTAGAAACAGTGGGAAAAGATGTGTGAATTTGTTTTTGAATTTGTTTGGAAACGTTATGCATGTTATGAATTGGAGGAAGAATTAGTGTGTTTTGATTTGTCTTAAAATATCTGTTGAGACCGTTTTGTTTTCTTTTTTTATCGTTCACTTCATTTGAAATCGATTCCAGTTTTATCTTTTTGACGACAATTGTCTCTTGGAATTGACTTCTTGGACACGAATCCAATTTAATTGTCGTCTAAATAATACATTTCAATATCAGTTGATATCAACTTTTATAATCATTCATACCTTTAAAGGTGTTATTGATTTTTCTGTTATACTAAACATAAAAAACAATTATTTTATTTTATTGCTCAAAACATTAATTAAAATTGTAAATCACGTAATTGCACTAGCGCAAATTTTGTTTTAAAAATAAATGTATTAATATAATATTATGTAATTTATACTACAATACTCATAGAGAAACTTTTTAAAATGTTATTCATTGCAATATCAAAATGTGTTTCAAACCCTTTATTGAATCACATTTTCAAAAAATTATCGATTTGTAATTTATAGTAGTATCATATAATTTAGATAATACACTTTTACAATCATATTCTTTAAGAATCAATTTATTTATAATATCTTACGAGCAATCAATTAAAAAATTATTTGTCAATTTGATGACAATTCTATTAAAAATACATCTAAATTAAGAATTTGAATGAACTGTACCTTATACTGAAATGTACTGTATAATAACTTTATAATAAATTCTGTTTTGTAATTGAACTCAAATTTCACTAAAATAATAGATGAGATTAATTACTAATTTGTTTGTAACTTAAATGTAATATTCAGAAAACCTGGTAAACATGTAATTTACAGTAAAGTAAGGTACATTGGCAATATTGTAATATTTCATGAGTATTATTCATATTATTCATATGGCAGATATTGAGAATTGAAAATTACACAATTTTATAGTTAATAGGTTTTAAGAAATATTTAAAGATATAATAACGTGATTTGGTTGAGATTTGAAATTAATTACTCGTCAATGAGTGATAGACTATTGTGGTTATTATCTATGAAGTTTATTTATGAAGGATATTTATGATTCATAAATTATGAAGTTTGCAAACAATTTTGTGGCCGTAATTAGTGTTCCCAGAAGGTTAAGAAATTCCTTGATTGTGATGGAAATAGTAGACCAAAGTTCAAGTAAATGTTCAAGGAATTTTATGTATGGAATTGTTATATAAAAACTGTAAAAACTTAAAACTTTCAATTGATTGGCAAAGTTTATAAAATTTAGTGATAAATGTAAGTGTTGCAAAATCTAAAACCAAATCCCAATTTTGAATATAATTCAATTAATAATTGAACTATCTAAGATAGTCTATCTTATTAATTCATATTTTTAAAACATTTTAGGCATAATTAAGGGTTCAAGGAATTCTCATAAACGTGCCAATTGAAAATAAATTTATCAAGGAAATTTTGACCTGGGAACACTAGTCATAATTATCACAGAAATATACTATTAAATTCTTTAATTTAAATAATAAATAACATTTTAATTAGAGTTTACTTAAATATTACTTTTGTGTTTTAGTCGTGAATTTATTTCTCCAAATAAGACATTCTTGCGATAAATTAGACGATAACTCCTGAGGAATATCTTCTCCAAAGAATATTATTTTATCGATTAATTGTAACATATTTTGCAAATATGTTTCCGATTCTTCGTCGCAATCCTATAACAAATAAAATATTTTGTTGCTTTAAATAATAAAAATTACACAAAATGTGTGATTACTTCTTCCCACGAGAGAGAACTCGAAGATCTATTGGTATTGAAACTCCAAATCGAAGAACTCATTAATATTTTAAATTTAAACAATTATATATAATATAAAACATTTTTTAAATAATAATTAATAAAAATATTTACGAAAATGAACTCTAAAATTATCATAGATTTGTGTTTTTAAATGTGTTGTCATGACTACCAAACATGCAATGATAATGACTTTATTACAATGATAAGTTAGGTTAGGTAAAAATATTATGATCTGTATTTCACACATTTCTCACTTGTATTTCTCAAGTAAATGTATAGAAATATACCATAGTTTAAAAAACACACATAAATGCAAGTTTTGAGCAAAAAATATTTGAATGCAAAACTTAATGATTAACTCCGTCACCATTTATATCACATATTAAGACAAAACCATATTTACGTACAAAACATAAAGAATATCCCAATTTTTATTTAAAGTGTAAATCTCACACTTTTTACATTAAAATGTGATCTTTAAGATTTTTATCCTTTTTAAGATTAACTTTGATTATGTAATGCATTAGATTATGTGATTTGTCTGCTCCCATAGTTTTACACATACAAAGTAAAGTCTTGAAAAGTATTGGTTGCTTTTCAACAGCAATATGCAAACCATTTTGTTATTCAAATTAAATTTAATTCAGTTGTACGCGTAGTTTAAACCAAATAAAAATATTATTTAAATATCTCGGGCAACATCCAACAAGTTATGGTCAGTTTTGTGATCACGTGTATAGTGTTTATAGCATTTGATCTTGATGATTATTCATTACCTCAGGTGAAATACCACTTTTTAATTAGATTTCGTATATTTAAAACACGTCTTCATTTGAAATCAACTTTTGTTGAATGAATTTTGTGTTTAAATAAAAATGAATTTAATTCAAAGCCATCATTTCAATTGAAATAACACTATAAATGAGTATTTGTTTGAATTTTAGACGAAAAATTTATTCTGACGATATATTTAATTATGTTATAATTTTATAATATTATAACCTCTATGCCAGGTTAACAACTATATTACCACTTACAAATTCTTACCCTATGTAAGGATATTAGATATGTTTATTAGTTATAAACACTTGACGCAAGTCTATTACACAGTACTACGAGTAAAATACCAAACACTCAAATCAATGTTAACACATATGATAGTGACGTCTGGTATACGAGTCTTACTTAAGATGGCATTGATATTGGCTATACTGTACACAATCTATTACATATACATATAGTCATATATTCTACTCTATAGTATACAGCCTTGTATTGTGTACTCGAGTTGACAATTATTACTAAATTATATACACAATTGATTTGAAAGATATTAGATATGAAATAATCTAATGTTTATTTGTATCTATCAATCCACTGGTTTGACTAATAATTGATAAACAGGTAATCAATACTATGTTCATTCTAAAGTATATTCAGTATATTTGTTGTGTTATTGCTATCATTCATATATGTATACATTGTTTGATTATATATTACTAGCTTATGGTATATTAATTTTAATAATTAACGTTGTTTAAACATGAAATTAAATTTTATTAGATAGCATGTTACATAAAATTAGCTATTTTATAAGTATGTGTGATTTAGTATAATTTGTTAATTCTCTATTGACTCAATTTATTTTATATTGTTACGGTATTATCAATATTGATTAAAATAATTATATATACAGTACTGTACTGTAAATATAAATTCCATATTATGTATACAATTAATAAAATACAAATATATTTATAAATAACTAAAAGATATTATATTTTAAATATTATAGAAATTGTTTGTAGAGATTATAATTGAAGGTTTTGTTAATTCATATGACATTAAAATGTACTGTGAATTGTACTGTATGTTGCACTAATTCTTAAATAGTGAATTTAAAATGATAAATTGTGAGCAAAATGTAATTTAAATTAGTATAATATAAATTTTAATTAAATTAAATTGAGATTTCTAATTTATAAAACAAAAATTGTTTTATTGTATAAAGTTGATTATAAAATTAAAATTTTGTTAATTATCTAACTATTAATATTTATTATTGTATTGCAACTATTATTATTTGGATTTTAAAGTAAAGAATATTGATCAATTAATTATATTCATTGATTAATTAAATAATTCTATAAAATAATTAAATGATATATTTTGTATTTTACAATATAATGATTATATAGTTTAAAGTTAACATTATTTTTAAAATTTAAGATTAAGATATTTTTATATGTTCTCTAATTATGTATTTTTGATTATTAATATAAAATTACAAATAATGGATGAATGCATTGTTGAAGAATATATAGCTTAATGTATATTTTTATAATACTAATGATATAACTATTCAGTATAATAAATACAATAGATATACTATATACAGTTTATATAAAGTAGTATATACTGTATGTAACGAATACAGTATATATGTATTCTGTTAAATTGTATTTGGTTAATAATGGTATTTAAAATGATTAAAATAATCTAATGATTTATTGTTTGTACAATTGTTTTAAAGTGTTGTCTCCTCTAAACGAAACAATTGGTGATTTCGTGGTGAGAAGAGTGGTGAGGAAAGCGTATCCGTCGGTCGAGCCGTCCGTATCACGAATGTTGTCTCTTAGGATCGTTTCGTGTCGATCGTTAAAACAGCCCTGAATTTGGTTAATTAAATCCCAATATATAAAACATTATATTTGAAGCAATCACTACATTAATAAGTGTTAAGCCATCTAAGCATACAATATATAATTTCTCGCTACAAATTTGATTATTTATGCTATAATTATGTCGACAATTTGCATCTCTTTGTAAGAATTGTAATATTCTTGGTTACATTATTTATTGAACTAATTATTTCCATAAAATAAGTGAATAATGAAGTCTAGGATACGTAGAATATCTGCTTCGATAGATGTGACACATTGTGAACAAAGCGGTTCCGATGAAACACTTCACACAAACACTTCTAAGGTTTAGATTTAATTTGATTTATATTTATTATACATAATATAATAATTAGTTGTATTATTTAGAGTCTCGATGTATGTGTTTCTGAGAGCCGTATCGATCGGATGCGAAAATTGTTGTCATCACCGCTATTGAGACGAAAACCTAATCTTCACAAAACTATAGCCCAAAGCTCACAATCTGAGCATAAAGTGTTTGGTGTAGCCCTCCATGTGTTGACTTCATCCTCAACTCATAAATCAAATGACGAACCATTCATTCCTTTCGTTATGAAGCGTTTGTGTCATTTCATTGAAGACTCCGGAGGTCTCTTACAGGAGGGCCTCTTTCGCATCAGTGGTAACGCAAAAATAATCGACAAATTGAAGCATTCATTTGACACAACGGGCGACGCAAACCTCGAATGTGAGGGCGATATTGCCTCGGCTTCGGCTCTATTGAAACTGTTTCTCAGAGAACTGCCGCAACCACTCATCCCTAATACACAACAGTTTTTGGATGCGATTAAAGGTTTCATTCTTTTCTTTAACCATCAAAACCTCAAAATTGAGATTAAGTTTTATTTATATTATAGACTACGAAACCGATGAACAAAAATGCGTTCATAATTTACGAGCTCTTGTCTCGCGATTAAGTGACGAAAATTACTATACATTGAAATATTTGTCGGCGTTTCTCAACAAAATCGCTCTTCAAGAAGAAAATCGAATGACTTCTGCGAACTTAGGTTCGAATTGAATGAAATGAACTCATTATTGCATTTGTTTGTTTGTTTTGTCTGTCAATTAACAAACACTTTATATCTCAGGCATTGTATTCGCGCCCAATATGTTCAAAGTTAGTGTCGATACATATAAAGGACTGAGAGATCAATCCAAAGCCAATGAAGTCGTTTCCCTTTTCATAAATAATTTTTATGAAATATTTGACTCGGATTTAGTGGACAATGTTTTTGAGACAATGTGTCCGCTAACTGTGCAGATACCAGAAGTGGTCGCTAATCAATCCATAAATGAGAACATTAATGACAATGAGTTTCACATTGAAATTCCATCGCTTCTCTTACACAACACAACTCCAGAAAGTTTATCTAATCGTAAGCGTAAAGAAAGCAAATGTTTATCAACGGCTTCGCCATTGCGTTCAAACTCTGAAGAAACCCTTTTTGACTCTAAAGATTGTGACATTCGTCGGAGCAGTAGTGATGAAAATGGATTCAATCATGAATTTATTTCTGCAGTGAATAAGTTTGAAAATTTGAATTTCGTCAGCACTTGGAGTCCACACCCGCCCGAAGCCAAACGCAGGGAATTAGAGAGTGAAAGATCTCAGGAAACCGATGCTAATGAGCGACAGACATGCCATCAATTTAATGATAATTGCGGTTTAGATGCAAAGATTGATCACAAGATAAATGTTTTGGAAAAACAAAACTCTTTGGATGAAGTAATTGATGTGATTTGTCACGATTTTAATGAAAATCTCGATTCTTCTAAAGAGAATTTTAATCAAGAAAATAAAATTCAATCCAATATTTTTCTTAAAACTTGTCAAACATTACAGTCTAATGATGAGCGCAATTGTCGACCTTTACTTGAAATAACTCCGACTGAAAATTATAGTAATAACAATAATATCAGAAATAATGATAACAAAGAAACAATGGTTTTAAAAGAAAATTTTCCTCATTTAGACTTTAAAACAATATTCAATAGTTCGGAGAGTAATGAACCGATACTATCAGAGCATCGGTACAGTTGGCCGCGAACTTCACATGAGTCGGAAACTATGGGATCGTCCGAACAGTCAGTCATTAATCCGTGTAATAATGTCTCGCAATTCTTGAAGAAAGCTGTTTCATATGAGGCCCCGCTATCGCCGAGTGCTTACAGAACTTATCTGAGTAACCGAAACATTCATTTGGACCCAACTATACCCCCAACGCCTCCAATCGAACAAATCAAGATCTTTAGGGCACCAATACGTGACCCAAAACACAATGAGACCATAAACACTAGCATCCGATCCATTACTAAACAAATACAAGCCATTAAAAAGAAGTTAAAACATTACGAACACGAGTTTGAAAGAGAAAAAGGATTTCGTCCGTCACTCGACCACAAAATGAATTGTCCAGAAATGAGAGAATATGTGTTGGAAATGAATCAATTGAAGAAAGATTTAAAGGAATTTAAAGATGATTTATATATGGAAGTGACGGATAAACACAATGTAATGGCAGACGAAGCAAAAGAATTCAATTGCAGTAAATCTTTGATTAATATAAGCGAAACGATTAAAGAAATTGAACGAACCATTGAAGAGAAGCGCAAACTCGCAAATCGACCCGAAATTCTGGACCAAATGTCGACCGAAGAGATTATTGAGGAGAAGCTTACACTTCAAAAGTCATTGTTGCGATTTGAGGCTCTTTACGGCCGACCGACTACTAAAGCTGAGCGCGAGATTGTTAGACCTCTATATGACAGGTACATTGTATGATTGTTTGCTTCATCATTAATTACGCTTTTAATTGTCATTTGATTTAATTGAGTTTATTTTTAAAAGATATCGTATTGTGAAACGAATGGTCGCCAAAACAATGCCAGTAAAACACGGCAGCAAAGAATCGGCTGAATTGCAACCCATTTTAGAACACATAGCAATGGACTTCATCTCTCCTTCACATTCGAAAACTCAAGTCATGGCTTGTGATGAACACAATGAGTCCAATGAGTCGAATGAGTGCAATGAACCCAATGAACTCACCAGTGATTTACTTACCGGTGCTATCGATGACAATGACAATGGATTAACCAAAAGTCCCAAAACAAGTCTTAAAGATTCAAAGAATATTCAATTTCAGTGCAATAATTTACATGAGATGTCGTTATCAGAGCTCAACCAACTGCTGGCGGAAACACGACTCCAGAAAAGAAATTTACGAATAGTTTTAAGAGATTTTGAGAACGAATTCTTTAAAATTATGGGAAGAAAAGTGGAAAAAGAAGACAAAGTAAATATGGGATCCGTTTATTCCAGTTATAAGGTTTTTACACATTTTGCAAATCTTATTATAGAAAATTTTTATTACAAATTATTATTACGATAAAAAAACACAATAACTAGCATTTTATTTAAAGACAATAAATCAAAGAATTCTTTTTGAAAAGTAATAGGGATTTTGTTTTAAAACACGTTAGGGTGATTCGAATATCATGTTTGCACTTGAGGGGGTGGGTTCAACCTTAAGAATGTTTACATTTTAATAACAAAAATGACAACAAAAATAACATATGAGATCATGTGACACAACAACCATAGATTTAGAGGAGTTTTTTGTTGTAGACATTAATGTATAATGACAGTCCCTTATATACAGGAAAACTGCCCGGGTTGATAAATTACAAATTCAACAAAATTTAGTGTTTTGGGTTGAATTTTTATATTAATCCAATCATATTTGAATCATATTGATTCTGAATCTCTATCTCACAAGTCAGTCACAGAAAAATTAATTATGAGTTATTCAACATTTGTTATCAAAAGATTAAGATTAAAAATTAATCCCTTAAATTATTTTACTACGAACTTTCATAATGTCTCCGCACCCCTCCCCTCGTTCGCAAAAGTTTGTTTTGGCCGCTACCCCTCCCCCAAGTACAAACCTACTTTGTGAATTGCCCCATAGAATTTTAAGCATGAAAATAGCATTGTTATGTAAATAAATTAATGTCATATAATATTTATTAAAGTTTCATATATAATAATGATAATTTGAAATAATTGATTAATATTTTGAGTATTATTTAAATATTATAACAATAATAATAATATTTGATTCGCTTTTATAGCACACGAAAGGAAAACTGCGATTATTGGAAGCACTGGTGTCTAAACACGAATCACAAATTATTATGTTATAATTGAATATCAATTCATTATATCACGTAATATTGATTATAAGTGTAAAGCAAACACTATTTGCTCATTTTATTTAGATTTTTATCGTATATTTAATCTATTCTTATCTATAGTCTAATTAGTAATTACTATATTTTAATTATAATACAACTTTAAAATCATTTTTGTTTTGTATATGTCAATTATATTACATAACTTATAACACGATATTTTAAATATTAGAATTTGTTTTTAAACATTATTAATGTACAGTATATTATTATATGATTAATACAGTATTTAAACTATGTTTTATTTATATTATTACTAAAAATAACTTAAATTAATGTTGAATAATTATTTGATATTTAATTATGTATAATATAATTAATTTAATAATAGATTTTTTATAATTTATTATTATTGCAGAAGCGAGTTATTCAATATAAAAAATTAATAATGAATTAATTGGTATTTTTGAAACAACTTAGATTATTACTACTTACGGTACGAGTTATTTATTTCTATCATTTGTTGTCATTTTAATTAAATCTGTTCGAAACCGATCACTATTTAATTATATTACAATAACTAATTGTAAATATATCTGAATTATGTAATTAATTATTTAATATTTGTTTTAAAGATATGATCGGATTATTGTTAATGTTGTTTTAATAGTTGGAACAAATTCATTTAGTATGTAGTTTGTTTATAATCTATAACTATATACAGTATGTTGTATTTATGTATATTATAGAGACTCTTCAAAATAACTATGAAATGCATGAATAAAATTTCAAAAATCGATAATATATTTTCAATATATTAATATTAATTACCGGCGATTTTATTGCATTCAATATGAAGTCAATATCAGTAAAATAGTGTCTTTCAGAATCGTATGCAATATTATCTAGGTAGTATTGTACCTCTTGACTAAAATTTACATAATATTGCATTGCTATGTTATCTCAAATTCACTGAATCACCATAAATAATTTTAAGTATAAATTATTTCAATAATAGTTTAATTAATAAGTTATTAATTTATATTAAATTCAGAGAAATCTTCCACAAAATCTATCATTTTTTGGCTTTCTTCGCGATAAGACTCACAATCGGTGAAACCCGACGGTACGGCTGACTGGGGTTTAGATAGACTATCATTATTAGATACCATTGATTTTATAGTCAAATGTGTTTCTGAATGTCTCACAAATAATTCATATCAAAATCAATTTTCTGTCACTCATGTCTTCACTCGTGTCTTCACTCATAGCGATATCTATTATTAATATTTCATTTGTGTCTACATTTGTTGAAAATTTTAGATTTTCAGTCATTCTATTGTCTTTACATTACTTGATAGCTTTTTCTTTTGAGGAATATTAAATGAATGTGACAAATTAAATCAAACTAATTGTCGTCAAAAATATTTAAAATTTTCAAAATAACAATTGTGAAAGTATTCTAACAACAATGTTTAAAAAGTTGAAATTATTGGTGGATTGTGGTTAACGCATAGCATCGCATGTGACCTTGTTTAAAATACTTAAATATTTTTGATCATTTTCAATGAAATTGGAAATTGAGCTAAAATCAAATGCAATCTAGATAATATTGCACCCATATTGACTTTACTCATATTTTCTTTCTATTGCATGCAATAAAATCCCGATAATTCAATAATTAATTAATTGTTTAACAAAATAGACATATCTATCATAATATATAACTTTTAAAGAATGAGTTAAATTTATTTGAAATATATTATATTTTGGATACTTATTACTTAATTTACAATTACAAATTTGATGTAATTATTGAAAATTGCTATTAAAACTTAATAATTTTAAATTAAAATTTATTTTAAACAAATTATTTATTTTAGACATTTTTGTGTAATAAATAAACAATTACAAAATATACTAAATATAGATTGTATGTAAATTCAAAACTAAATGTAATTTAAAGGTAAAAGTTTTTTCTAATTTAAATATTGATTTATGAATGAAGGAAAACAACATTTGAATTCTCAATGAGATTTGCTTTTTGTTGATTTAATGCATAAATACATTTATTTTGATTTAATTTTATATGTAAACGATTTTTACGCTTAAGAAGAGTTTCCAAACATTGGGATTGTCCTAACGATTGGGATTTAAACAATTTGTTAGTTTTGAATTCAAAGTCAATATTTTTTTTGTAAGAACAGTGGGTTTAGTCATAGGAAATAACGTTAGAAATTACACTTGAAAATTCATGTAATGCTAAGAATCGTGTGTAAAAATCGGGTATAAGAGTCGAGTCTGCCTGAAGAGCACATTTTCGTCTTAATAAATATTTTATGTAAAGATTTTAATAATGAAAACATTAATTGTATGACTAAATGGTAAAGATTATTGAATGAGTTTTAACGTTATTTTCAATTACTAAGCCCACTATGTTTGCACAAAATACATATTATAATTACCATAATATCCTATATTGTTATTATTATTATCGCGTGAATTATGGTTTGTATGAGAATTATGGGACATATTAAAGGAATTATTGGAAATAAATGTAGAATTGTTTGGATTCTCACAATTATTGCTATTTATTTCTGAGTTATAATGAGTTATTTTTCGTCTCTTTTTATCGATAGTTTGAGAATCGAGTTCTTTAGGTTTGTAAGTGAAAGGACGCGCTTCACTGTACTCTCCATCTCGGGGTCGGAATAATTGAAGGAATACCTGAACCGAACATTTGATTTCAGTGTCTCTATAAGGGGGCGTCCGGAACACAATCGCCACCTAAACAACGATCAAACTTTTAATTATTAATATAATTTTAAGTTAACATATCATTAATACAAAACCTGATGGTGAACATCCGCTTCAGTACTAATCAACATACAAATATTATCAATAAGTTTTAACATTATAATACTTTTTCAAATACTCACAAATTAGCAAAGCTTTCCCAAAGTTGATGTCCATCGTTATCGGTCTCAAAAAATCGGATTTTGATCTCTTTTTTATTAACTTTTTCGCACAATAGAAACACTTCTTCGTCTCCTATTTGTTTAATTAATTATAGATTATTTTCTTTAGTCATAATATTTCAAATTGATTTCATGTTTCATTTGTCTCATTCTTCCAGTCTATGTGCAATCCTTTCTGCCATTAAAGGTATTGAATATTATGGTAAAACATCTGAACAAATTCTAATATTTGCAGTAATTCTATGGGATACTGTGATGCGGCATCACTGATGCCAATGCCCGTGAAAATTTATATTAACATTTGCACAAGTAATCAGATTTAGCATTCACATCAAGTTAGTTCATGTGCCCTAATCTACCAGAATATCGGAATTAGATTAAATACTGGCCGCTTAATGTTAACAAGCTCGCTTGTTTGCTCGAAAATAGGTGTAATCTTAAACTTTATGTCACTTTATTTTAAACAGATATTTGCAATAGTATTTGTAAAGCTATTAAATTATAATATAAGTAACTATACTATAATATAAAATTAATTTATAAAATCTTTTGAAGCTTTTTGTGTATAATATAACGCAATCTTTTTATGGGTGGAGTTTATGAACATATTATATATTATAATAAAATAATCACAAATTATTGTTAATAAAAGGGACATTCAGTTATTGTATTCAAATAAGTGCAAGTTTTGCTTAAATAGATATTATTATAATTATTTATGAGTAAAATTATTTTAATATTACAATTTCCTTTAACACATAATTGATAGACAGACCTGTTGCCGGTCCACTGTATTTATCCATTCTTACAATTTTTAATTCTCCAGAATCGGGAGATTCTATTCAAAGTATATATAACTTTATATATTATTTTTAAAAATATACATTTTATAGAAATAATTATAATGTAATAAAATATACTTTGATTGGCGACCGGACGTGAGAATATAGGACTACAGATACCATAACTCATATCATTTTCGTACACAAAAGCTTCAAAACAAATTCTAACGGAATTTAAATTCATATCCTTTGCATCTCTTTCTGATTCTTCTCGAACGCGTTGTTTATCGATATCTATTAATACAATCATTTATTGTAATATTCATACAAATAATATTGAGTAACAATTTTATGTTAGAAATAATTTAGAAACAATTATTGTTGCTTTATATTATTAGAAACGAAAGAATGACGAAAAGAAAGTGAGTGAAGGAGTGAAAGAGAGAGAGAGAGAGAGAGAGAGAGAGAACCTGATAATACGTTTGCGTTTGCATTAATGAATGAATTGTTAAGTAGTGTTTGATTTTCTTCTAGTTTTCTGCGGTATAAGATGTCCGGCACTTCCTTTTTGCCCACAAACAAAATGCCCAAATTTTGAAACCTATTTTTAAATTAACAATATTTTTAAAATGAGTTGATATGTAATAAACATTATATAATTTGGAGGTAAAGATAGCGCAGCTAACAATTTATACATTCATTCATTGCATTTAATGATGATTACAATATTATCTCACTTCACATTTGGAGTACTTGGTTGCATACAATTATAGGTTATAAGTTATAATGTACATACAATGTATAAAGATCTTCAATAAAATTAGACCGAGTGAGATTTGCGATTACTCTGGAACCATTGAGGTGATAATATTGAAACTATATTTCTCGACGTTAATCTATATACATCTGTGTGAAGTTTTAATATTATCATTTCAATGGTTCCAGAATAATCGCAAATCTCACTCGGTTTAATTTTATTGAAGATACATTGTATGCACATTATAACTTATAATTAATTAAATATTAAACAAAATTATTTTAGGCTCAATTCAGTAAAATATTAATTAAACCCTTTTTGCAATTTAAAACTTAAATCACTGGGTTGTGACTTATTTTTTAAAACCTAGAATAATTTTATTTAGTTCATATCATAATATGAAAATTTCTTACGTAGCAATCATATTATCAGATAAAGGGAGAGTACAATGCCCCAGATCATTGCAATGTCTGCCCATAAGTTTATGAACATGGTTCTTTGGATGATCTTCATTGGTATAAAGACTCGCCCTAATATATACCTGAGCCAAGGAGTTGTAGTTTTCTAACTTTAAAAAATATTTATTAATATTAAAGTTAACATTTTAACAATTATTAAAAGTAATTATTAATACAATATTAACAATTAATTATGAGTTATTTATGCAAAGTTTGTTGTAGCATTCCGATTGTTATTTTATTTTCAACATACGTTTATATGTTTGGCAAAGAAGTATAAACAGACTTACAATATAAATTATACAAATTATATAATATATCATGTTATGATTGTAATAATTAATTTAACACAACCTATTATATGGCTATAATTAGTAATTATTAATTACACAGTAAGGCTACAATTACAATTAGGTATTTGGTTCTAATTTTTAAAGATGTTCCTAAAATTGTAAGTTTAATTATAACTTAAATTATGTAATTTTGTAAGAATAAATAATGATATTAAAAATTTTGATAAACAATAAAACTGAATAATTTGCTGTTAATAGAAAACTTTGATCAAAGAATACTTATTAAGTTAAACGGTGTTAAGTTGTGATGAAGAGTACATACTTTGACAGTTGGATATGTTTTCTTGTTTTGGGAACTATTCTCGCCGGTGAGCCCTCCGTGTGAACCCTTTTCACTTCTATACCTGTATCTGATTCTGTTTGTCGGCTGCTCTACTATTTTCAATTGAGGTCTATCTATAATGTTAAATATTAATATAACTCTAATTAATATATTATTATTAAAGTGGTTATTAAATGTTGATTGTAATGAATATTGTCATACTTTGTCTAATATTTTCAGCATTAATCTCATGTTGAGTGATATTGTGAGAGAAATCATTTTGAATATTTGGCAAAATAAGTGATGGCATCGGAGAAGTGACAGCATTTCGGCTCACATTTGGTACGTCCAGTGTTAGTATTAAAGGAGTAGACGATTCAGACATTAATACTGATGTTGAGGATTCAATATTATCACTATTGTTATCACTAGTGTTTGTTATATCTATTGCGAGACCATTAATATAACACGAATAGGAATCGTGGGAACTACTAATGGTTTGAGGAATGGTTGAGGTGTTAATTGAGATAATGTTTGATGACAAATGACAGATTTGTGGCACACATTCAGTGCTATTTTCCGCTACATTAGACATCAAATAATTGTGACTTTGAGAAGACATTTATCACATTTGAATAAAAAATGGTCATTTGAGTTTTTTTAATGAAACTCGTATATATAATACTATAATTATTATAATTGAGTAATATTTACAATCACATATTGAAATAAATTCTTTGTCAATATTCATATAATTAGTTTCTAGATTTACAAAATAGAAACAAAAATATCACATTTAATGACATTTTGATAAAATCATTGTTGAAAGAAAAGCCATTCCTGTAAAGTTGGAAAACCAAATAATGAGCTCAATATTTAATAAAATTGATTATAAAATTATAATTTTTGTTATCAAAATACAACACTTAAGTTATTAAAAGCATAAAACATTACTGAATGAGTTTTA